ACTGGGGGTGTTCTCAGAAATGGCAAAAGCAGTCGGCTGCCTTGGGCCAGCAAACCTGGAGGGGCCCCCAACCAATTGTCCTCAGTGCCACTAAAGACCGAGGCCTCAGAGCAATTAGATTTTCTGTCAATATGACATTAAATGAGAGTAGTTTACTTTTAAATAATAATCATTTTTAATCAATTATCAATCAATCAATTATAATAATCATATGTAATGGATGTAAACAAAAATGTTATTGTACTAGCAAAAAAATAAAACAACTTTCAGTTCTGGTTATCTAGTAGGCAACCAAACTAATAAGACAAGTTTCCAATCCACCATTATTGAAATAAGTAGAGATGTGCATGTCTCAAGAACAATGGGTAAAAACAGACAATAAATATATTAAACAAAACAAAACAAAAGTATGATGCATTATAGTGAGGCCCCCAAATTGCCAACTCCGCCACTGGGTGTACTACATGTATGTGAACGGCAGAATGTTTAGAAATTACCATGGTGACACAATGCAAGCATTGGCAAAAAGTTTTAAGATCTCTGAAAACAAAACAAAAAAACAAAAAAAAAAACAGATTTGAACAACACATTTTCAAGAGCCTGCGATCAATATGAGCATTCATGGTCCTGTTTAGGTGTTTCATTTTCAACAGAAAAGTGAGACTGACTAACTGAAAAACTGTTGGCTAATGCTACCTAGTTTGTGACTGTGATTTTATGTGTGAGGGATTTACTTAACAACACAAAAGTTCCTTCTAACTCAGCTCTTTCTGGTCATATTGCATTAAATTAAAGCTCAGATTAAGGTCTAGCTTGAGTAAGAGAACTTCAGACAGAGCAATGCTTCCAGATAACATCACACCCTCAGGGATTGTTAATGACATCAGCTGCAAAGTATCAACAGAATTTCCCTTTAAGGCATATAGATTATGTATTACAGTTCAGGTGAAATGCCATATCCATTCATGCCATAGACCTCCAGTACTGTCCTAACATAGTATTACGCATCATCAATCTCTCACCGTCACAGCACAGTTACTCAGAAAGGATCCAAGTCTTTAATTACGCTCCAAGTCAACTGCTGCCGGACCACATAACGGCAGGCTCTGGTCTCTGCACTGTAGGTCTTATGAAATCTCAAATGTATCCAACCGTTACCAGCATATAGAAGCCACAACAAACAGATTAGCACCCATACACCAATGCAGATAGGTAGCAGGTCTTGTAAGGACAGAGATCTAACCTGCAAACAATAGATTTTTTTTCTATTGGCTCAAATTTGGGTGGGAATGGGCTATGGCACTGAAATGATTGGTGGTTTCAGTCATTTTCGTCCCACTGCATGTGAGTTTGTTTGGTTCTATGTATAAGCAATACACTAGACAAGGGGCACCAGGATAACCATCTTGTGGGTGGAAGGAAACTTAAAATACAAAATGATGATGACATTCACTTTGTGTCTAAGAGTTTTTTTGGCATGCGCTTGGAACACGTGCCTGGCATAGTGATATGAATTGTTGCAGCATGTTTTCTAGTTATTTAAGTATGGTTGGCTTCCTGAACTCAGCGACCTTTCACCTCAGCATGTTTTGTGTTTTCTAGTCAGCAGCTGTAACCTCTTCTGCACAGATCCACACAGAAACAGTGAGTCACAAGTTTACTGAATTGAGTTGTCTATGTTGTTACAGTGTTTTGTGAGCATTTTTTCATTTAACTGGATGGTAACAATGTGAATGATTTTTGTAACTTGTATGTTTTTGTTTTGGTTTTTTTTTTTTGTTTTTTTTAGCATTGATGGCAAAGAGTTTAACTATATATATAATATTGTGGTACTATCTAAAAGCAAAAGTAGCAGTGACATTTCTAGTGGAGGAATGCAATGCTAGTAGTGGACATACTTTTATTAATTGTAATCAGTTTTATTCAGCTAAAATCTGGAACAGTCTTCCTGAAGATTTGAGATAGGCTTTTACTTTGACAATGTTTAAATGAAAGGTCACTCATCTCTTTTCTCTTTTAATGTTAATTTTATGGTGATTATTTGTGTGTTGACTTGATTGTATTGTGATTTTAATGTCTTTCTTATTCTGTAAAGCATTTTGAATCACTCTGTGCTATACAAATAAACTTGCTTTGCCTTGCCTTACTTACACTTACTGTACGTAATAGTGTATAGTTTCATTCACAATTAGATGTGTCTGCACTTATGTGTAAATGGGTATTTTCCAAGATCCAATTCCATAACTTTATGAGCTACAAATCTTTGTGGCTTGATCGTGAGCCTGCACTTGTGGCTACTTTGGTCATTTTAAATGACAAGCAATTACTTTCATATTAAAAGACAAAGTATAGTTTTATTTCCGATTGGCCACTTTTGACATTTCCTATGGATTTGCAGCTCAGTAAATTGGTGCCATTGATGCAGTTCAGAAGCCACATCCAAAGGTCTGTGTGGAACAAATGTGATTATATTACAAGACAGTAATGCGTTTGTTAAGGATGTCTCTGAGTGATAAATTAGACAATAAATCTTTATTATTAGAGTAATATGTGTGTTCTGACCCCAGTGCGTCTGAAAGAACAGACAGGGCTCTTGTAATTCTAACTGCAGACTTTGGCCCACTCCGGAAAGAAGTGAAGACAGGCTGCAAAATAACAATGCACATTTCTGCCCATTTGGCCTAAGTCCCATCTCCCAGACCACTGATTAGATTGCTCCATCCACCTATATATTACAACTGTAACTGTGAGAGCACATGCCAGCTGTTGAGTGCAGTGAACAGTGTGGGAATATCAAGAACTGTCAGCACTGTCCACCAAACGCTTGAGGAAAGCCAATTTTCCCCCAGGAAACCAAGTGACTCAGATGTGGTTCGACATTGTTTCGAGTACATACGCAGTGTGTGTTCAAGCATGTACCATGTATGAGTGTCCACTTGTGTCTGCATTTAAGCACATGAATACAACACTTTTCAGGGATAGTTTTACGATGCTTACAGACATCACAACACAACGCCCCAAATGTAAAGTCTAACAGGCTCACAGAAGGGTGCTATGAAAACAGCAAAGCGCCCAAACATGATAAAGTTGGTAGGACTTGTCCCCCTGGAGGTGGTTAGGTTCAGACAGGATACAATAATGTTCAGTGCACAGTCAAGGGTTTTCATTAGATACTCAAAAGGAGACCAGAAAAACTTACTGTAACTTCACTAAAAATTAAATGGCAGATTGGTCACAGTGCTTACTGATATAGAGAGAGCACACATGGAAATATCGACAGCTGCAATATGGGAAAATTATCTAAGGATAGCAGTTGTCTTGTGACTGAAATTTGAATATTTGGTTCCATGCTCCAACCTATGCATACTGCCTTGACTTTGCCTGAGTATGAAAGTGGTAAGGGACTGTTAATGATTGAGAGGTGGCCCAGACAGACATCCATGTTTTCTGAATAACACAATGCATCCAAATAAAACTCTAATATTAATGTTCCCTTCCGGATTATTGTAGTACTCAACGCAATTCTCTCCCCCAGTTATATTGTAGTAAATAAAATTGCATGGATTATTCTTGTTGGTCTTTTTGCAACTGCCATTGCTGGGTTGGGGGCCCCTCTGGGACAAACACCAGACCCAAGAAGGATTTGTAGAATTCTGTTCTCTAGATTTTATATTCTAGATTTTTCTACCATAAATTGCAGCACTGGAATTGATTATTATATTTTGTTTAGAACAGAGGTCAAAAATGTTGTCATTTTAAGTCTTGGTGATTTCCAATGCATTAGAAAACGTTTTATATGAGCATCTAATTTTCTCCAGAGCTATGTGTAATTGTCAGGGTGTTTCTTCAGAAAACTCAGATAGTTTATCATATTTTTCAGTTTTGCTGTTATTTGTGTGCAATGTGGATCTGAGCAGTTTGAGTGATCTCATTCTGTGATTGTGTGAACCGCCCTTTGGGATTCCCCCAACTCCACTCTGTTTGTAGGGCCCTGCATCCACGCATGTGTTTGTTGCTGTGCCACAGGCTGAGGTAATGGCCGTCCTCCACGGGGACAGCTCATCCTCTAGAGCCGGGTGGTCCTTTGGGCAGTGACAATTGAAGAGAAATAGACAACCAGTAGGGAAGAATATTTAGTGTTTCTGCTTTGAGAATGCAGACAGGCAATGTGTTGACCTGAACTCGCAGAGAAGCGCAGTTATTACAGCTGTGAGACCTGGCAAGTTCAATCTTTTTATTGTTTATTCAAATACATTTTAATTCTATTTGATCTTAGGGGAGTCCATTTATCACATACAAAGTGGAGTTCGAATAGAGAGCGGATGTGCGGAGGGTAAGGTAGCGGCCAGAGTGGTCTGAGTGACTCATCTGGGTTCAAAATCAACAGTTTTGAGATGCTGGTGAGCAGACAGGAAAGGCTTGGTATCCCGGGGCCCACTGGGAGCTGTGTGGGTGTCATGTGTGCCAAACATGTGTTTGTGTTATGCTCTTTGGGTGCACTGTGGCCAAACGCTTTCCCACTTTGAAGCTCTGGGAACCAAGCTCTGCTCTCCTGCACCTGCCCCCTTCTTCCTCCGCAGGAGCCAACCTGACGGTACGCTTCTTCTACTGACCATCTTCTCTATGATACAGCTCTCTCGAAAATCTATATTTATAAAGTTTGAGCCTAAATCGTACAGTTTTGAAGTAGGGCATCCCAAAATGACTCATTACAGTTGACCTGAGGCATTGTGGGAAACCACCTGTGACTGTGGTTCACAAACATTTCTAAGAACAATTCCAGATTCAGGTCACCACTAAAATGATGGCCAGCCTCATGACCCATTTGTCTTTTTCTTAAGATGATGTGTTTTTGAACCAAAGCTACAGATATGTCAAAACATGCACTCATCATTAATAACAATGCTATTGCAAATATCTTAGTAAGTCATAGTCTATTCAGTAACACACTTCCTATAAAGCAGTACAAGGCAATTATAACAGCAGAAGAAGCACACACATTATTTACACTCATATTTTTTTATTTTCAGAAACCAGAGAAAAACTGCAGCTTAAATCAGGGAGGTAATAAAACACAAACTCCACACAAATGGCTAGACAATAAGACCTACGTCTCACACATACAATCACACTACCACAAGATATTGTTTCCATCTGGTCCAGAATCATAACATTTTGATCATGATTATAATTTGAGCAGTGCCCACACCCCTCTGTGATTAGACCAGATACAAAAATACCCTAAAATCCCCTTTACATTGGATAAGACAGGGAGTATGCTTATAAGATGAATTTGCTGACACACAGAAAATGTGGAAAAGAAGACCTTTATCAGCACATTCAGGAAAGTATGTGGAATCTGCTGGTAGCGTTTCATTTTGAGATTATTCTCTCCTGATTCTTTTTGTGAACTGACAGAACTCAGCTCATACAAAAATGAGTCAATATTTATTTAGTGCTATGTTACTCATTTAACATGATTAACCCTGCTTTATAATACTGGTCCTACTTATATCCCCCTTCTGTTTTAGTCCTGGTTTAGCTTTGATTGTTTATAGTTTAGTTTTAGTTTAGTCTTTGTCTGCCACCTGCTTGCCTGCATGGAGATGTTATCGCTTAGCTGGGAATGTCTGGAGTATAATATTAAATTGTATCTCCATGGATACAATCAGATGACCCTTTCAAGCCAAGTTACAGGTCAGAAATGAATACATGTTCAAGATTCTTGTTGCAATAAAAACATATTTAATGCCATACTGGGGAACATCCCAGGTAAATCATTAAAATTTCCAGAAAGACAAACAGGTGGCAGACCCTCCACCAGAAAAGACATTAAAGATTTATGTCTCGGATTATCAAAAATATTTTGATAGGCATTTGAGGTTGTGTTATTAAATAGCAGGAAATTAAGATATGTGTATAAAAAAAGAGAACTACATATTTTGAGGTTGCTGAAAAACTAAAAAAAAATACAACTGCTACTGAACTATGAATACGATTCCAAACACTTGATGACGAGTTACTAAATTTAACATTATTCATAGTCATGCTTTTAATAATTCAATAGGAATTTAAAATATGTTGTCAGCCTTGTTTGTGTACAGGCAACAAGTATTCATTAAAATGACTCTTAAACAAATATGCATTTAACAGATACACATGCACATACATGTTGGAAAGAAACTGAATACATGTACAGAGAACACAGATACTGAATACTTTTAATTCAGTATTCTGTAACTAAATACATTTTCAAAGTATTCTTCCCATCACTGCAGGTACAATATGTAGCTCCAAAGGATTTATAAGTGCACCATCTAACTATTAGCGTCCGCCACCTCCTTGTCTCCACGAGGACTGTATTGCTTTGCATGAAATTTTGAGTAAGGCATTGAACTTGAAGACAGCAGGTAATGTCATCAAGTTACAGGTGAGATCTGTAGCGAGTTGACCCATCTCACAAATAGAAAGATATTTTCTAAAAAAATACCCTTAACTGAATACATGCAAAGTAGATTAGAAAGAAAGATAGTTGCCATGCCATACAATGGAACAATCAAGACAACACAACATATCTTCGCTGTCAGATCCCCACCAGAAAGGTTAGATAGAGATCCTTTAAAGGACTGTGACATATGTGAGATACTAAGTATATAGCAGCACTCACACACACAACACAACACAAAATTAGATCTAGATCAAGAATAAACCAGAAATAAAACAGCTCAAAACCAGTCTACTTCAAGACTGGGATCAAAGCAGACCAAACAAGGACAAGTGTGAATGCAAACTAAGTGATTCAGTTTGTCCCACCCAGACTTAATTTATCAACACACAAAAGGTAATTTGACATTTTTCCAAATATTATCTTACACAGTCTTTTGTGCACAGATGTGGTACTCTCACTGTTTCCTTTAATCTGCAAATCGAGGTTTTGCCAGATGACATCAGCAGGGCCCCTGACATGACTGCATATCACAATAAGGGGATTTCAGCTCCCCCAGAATAGGAATACCACCCTATGTGCTTTGTTCCCTCTGTTAGGTGAACAAACTGTTTCTATGTCCAACTCTGCAGTGCTTCAAGTCACACATTTCAGCTTGAAAGTGTTGCTACAGATGCTTTTCATAAAGAGTCACAAATTCATTTCTCGTAAACTGCATTTCCCCCCTGCAATTTATTAAATTGATTAGTTATATCTATATATATGGTAAGACTTTGGATATAATGGATATATATGGATAATAAGTAGATGGATGCACAATATTATAAAAATGTACTATATTCAATTAGGGCACCATAATTTGAAATGAACTGGTCCCTTTTGCTTTTGTCATGCATTGACATTTTTCCCCTATAGCAAATATTTCTTGTAGTATGGATTGTACATTTACAGATACTGTTACATGGCACAACATAGTGTATTTGGCCTCACCCAATGAGGAGCATACTGGTTAAATTAAGATATGTGTCTAAACTTTTATTCAGCTAAAGCATCTCCATGTCAAGATGTGCTGAGAAGTGTCACTTTATCCAAAACGTAATCACTGAAACAATCAAAAACACATGGGGCTGTGAATGACATACAAAAGATTCATTCACCTTTAAAGCCATTCAAATACATTTCACTAAGAGAGAAACTCATAGGCTTGTTCGTAGTCACCATTGCATTGACTGAGGAAGCCTTGTAGAACGTCTTTGTCAAAGTGAGGGAAGTTACTCATCAACTTCATTAAGGCCCAGTCAAACTCTGGTTCAGAGGCTAGAACAAAAAAATGACAAAAAAAATTAATTAGTCCATATGATTACTGATATATTTCTATAATAGATGGATATTACATTAGATTTGTTTTTCTCAGTGACGCTTGTGAAACTAAGGTGCTCACTGGTCACTGGTCCCTGCAAGAAGCCATACGATGTGTTTCCTTTACTGGCTAATGTACCAGTCACTCATGCTGGATCCCAGGCAAAATGTATTCAAGCACTCTACAGTAGGTTACACACTATAGTTAAGTATGTTTATAGTCACATACAACAGCCACTCAATCAGTGACATGATCGACCAATGACATCATCAAACTCATTAAAATCTAAACACTGGAAACAAACTTGCTCTAGCATCTTATTGTTCCAGTGAATGAGAGAGAAAATGTTTTCTTTCATTCTCTCAAAGCCAGAAAAAGTCTTGATAAGAATTATAAAAAATAAATTTGTAAAATCAGACTAAAGGGCACAAAAATGTAGTAATAAAAATAAAACTAAATAAAATAAAAAACAAAAATACAACACAATACAATTGTTCCACACACTTTAATCTCCTAAATCAGGGGTCATCAACCTTTTTTGTCTGGTGAACTTCCTTCACTAAACCAAAATGCAGACAACTACTAATTTTAGCGGTTGTGAGAAATTTTGTAAATATAAGACCTCACAGCAAGCCTTAGATGTGGTACAGTTAAATGCCTATAAAATAAACACCATTATTAATTTATTAATGCACAAACTTAAGTATCAAAATAATACATTTACCATGGTAATAATTAATCAAATTTTAGCTATGCAACACAATATGTATACTTCAGAAATCCCTTGGATGGGGCGGAGAACTACTAGTAGCTCCTGAGCTACAGGTTGGAGACCCCCCAATTTGTGGATTAATGCCAACAACGGTCTCTGTTTTAGACTGTTTATTACTGTGGTGGGGGATAGGGAGCACAAAAAGAGCCAGGGCCTGAGAACCAGACATTTCAGTCAAAAGGTTGAAGAGTGGGTTTTCGCAAAGGGGAAAAAATACTTTGACACAACAACAACATAAATTCAAGAAGATATTACACATGTTTTCTGATAATCAGAGAAGGAAACTTCCTTGCTTCTTTAAATCAAAGTTTTTTAAACTGCTCACTATAGCACCATCACCTACGTTTAAACCTTCCTCTCTCTCTCTCTCTCTCTCTCTCTCTCTCTCTCTCTCTCTCTCTCTCTCATGTATTTATGGAAGATGGATTTAGTTCCCACACAATGATTTGCCTGGAGGTACAACCTGACTACACGTTACGCATAAAGTCCTCATTCTTGTACTTGCTGCATAAAGCCTTTGATTCATCACAGACTAAACAGTCCATCACACTAAGCATAAGGTGGGTCACTGGTGTCACACATCTGACTTAGAGTCGGTTAACCAGTGCTGACCTACAGTCCAAGTGACAAGGCGTGAGAAGAAGTCAGTGCAGTGTTAATTATGAACCTGTGTTTGGCTCACCATCTGCAGCTGTGTGTCCAGAGCACACTGGTCCTGGAGGAGACTGAGAAGGAGAAGATGATGATTCACCAGACTTGTTTGCAGTCTTCATTTGATGCTCTAGTCTGTCCAGAAACGCTGCATTTTTCCTGTAAAGCAGAACAGCAATGTTTGCACTGACCACCAATACCATTATTTGAGATTTAAAAGATTGACACAAAAAAAAAAAAATCATCATTTTAATAATTGACACATCTGTAACACATTTTCAGTAAAGTCATATTATTGTTTTCACTTCAGTAGATGTTGAACATGCAAATTAAATGGATCTTTTATGGTGTTTTATTTTTTCATTTGTAATAATACATGTCACATACACTTTTAAATTAGGATTCAATTAGCATTTATCCATGAAAATAAATCAACTAATTATAATAAAATGTCAATACCCCTACAAGGCAATGTCACGTAGCAGCATGTGCCGACATCCACTTGAAATAGTTGAAATGTAATATGAAGATTATAAAAATATACCTCTTCTGTTCCAGTTGTTTTTCTTCCAGACTCATTTTCACATTTGGCACGTCACTCTGTGGAAAAAATATGATCGTTGACCTTGTAAGTTATAGAGAACCACATCACCATAATGTCTTACCAGCATCAAACATATGGCTATTATCAAAGATAAGATGGCTCAATCTGAACTGCACAGATGATTTGATAGATTTCAGAGATGCTAATTGAAGAATAATTATTCAAACAGGAGGAGTAAAACTTATATATCCTTCTCCCTCTTTCAATTAAAATATAGAAATTACAATATGTATTGCATTATTTTCTGTAATAATACATTGTCTACGGTATTCACAGACACTAATTTTCAATTCTTTTGAAAGTTATTTATTTATTAAGTTATTACAGAATAAGTAACATTCCAGTTGATTCATAATAAGGTTTTCAACAGCACTGAGGGAACAAGAAACAGGAAAGCACAGCCCACCTGCGGCAGCTTAACACAAAATCTCCCATTTACACAATAGAGATCTATGGGTCTTATGAAGGCATTACTAAAGAACAACATGTCCCATAGTCCTGCTCCAAACCACTTCAAGAGGCCTGGGTCTGCAAACCTCGGCCTCACACAGCTTTCATCCCCAGCTCATCTGGAACATCCTACTGAGACTAGGCCCAACCCAGATGAAGGCAAGACAAGATGGAACAGAGAGAAAACAGGAGATATAAGGGAAAGAAAAGGAATTTACACATGGTAACCGATTTATTTACTGTAATTTTAAACTGTATAATATTAGCCCTTCAATCCAAAGACTGTGATAAAGGTGCATTCACTTTTTGGCAGGGTATTTGCCACCTACTTTTATCCATATAGTCGTATGTAGTAGTAGTAGTATTACTGAAATGCCTCATAATGTGACAATAAACATGTATTTATTTAATTACAGATGTTCTTTTACTCTGAGATGTCTCTCCTCTCCACAGATCTGACCTGTAAATTAGTTTGTTGGCAGCACCTGCGTTTAATGCCATACTGTGGAACATTCTATGCAAAATATCTCTCAAAATCTCAACAGTCATAAAATGTGTCTAATAAATAGATTAATTAGATTATTAATCAGCTTGTACGTATATTAGCCATCAAATGGAAGATTATAGCTCAGTTGCAAAGCATTTAGATTATTGCCAAACAAACAGTGTCAGTTATGGATATTAGAGTAAAAACATAAGAGACAACATTTGTTCTGTTCACCCTTCAAGTCCACACTAGACTGAAACAACATTAAACTGTATGGAAGATCAACAGGCCGCTTCCTGCATACTGACGTCATTCCCAGTAGACAGGTGACATCATATCCAGCCAATACTTCCTACTGTTTCACTAATACACTGACACTACTAAATCTTTCTAGTCTTTTTTGTGAACTCTGGGAAGTCCCTAGCACTGTCAGCTGTCCACATGCTCCCTCTATGGAGCAGCAGACTGACGGACAGTAGAAAGAAATCCAGTTTTCACACCGAGGGCCAACCTCAGAAAATATTTGGCTTTCACAGTACCATTGAAAGACTAGTTCCACAGCATGACTATGGAAGGAACAATCCACCAGTAGCTAAGCATGGCTGCATTCAGCTAATATTTGAATGGGAGACTGTGTGCGTAAGTGATGGTGGATGGAGTGACTGAATAGTGCAAAGTGACTTTACGTTAGAGTCTACGAAAGTGCTGTAAAAAGTATATGCATTATTATTAAAAGAACCCTGCTGTGATAAGTGCATTTTCAGAAGCATAAAGACTTTGAGAAGCAGCAAAAACAATATGAAGACTGTCTGCAGTTGCACATAGTGTATGAGTATTTTAACATAGTTTTACTCAGCTGTGAACTGCGGCCTCCAGCTCTGACCAGAAACAAATCATAAGAAAACCTATTGAGCTTAACACTAGTCTAATACAAGAGCACATTTGGGCAATAGAAGTCAATGATATTTACTTAGAAAACAGCCTTCAAAGTGAGGCATATCACAGGGAATTACAGCAACGCCTGTTTCCGATCCAACAGCCAAAGTTATGGGGCTTGACACTGAACCCTGAGACCAGTCAAACAAGTAAGCCTTTTCCTTTATTATCAGATACAATCAAATAATTGTGGCAAAAGCAATAAATTGTACTTACAGTGGTAGGAACAGGTTCATTGATTCCTGATGAGGCATTTCTAGAAGCTAAGGCCTCTCTCTTATATTTTTGCAAGTAGTCATTGTTCACCCTGTAGAAAAGATAAAACTTTTCAGATAAAAATAATAAGAACAAACAAAAAAGAGATTCCCAAATCAATAATGTCCAATAACAAGTCAATAATGGTGAAGTCAGTAGTGGTAATCAATCTTGCTACATTTTTTGACGCAAATTGGCACACATGTTATGTAAGATATAATTTATGTGTGGATTCAGTTGCCTGTAAAGGTATCTCTGTGGCTCAAACATTCTTGTAAATGATGGTGCAAATAGGAATTTGTAGATTGAACTGTGCTTAATCCATTTATTTCCTTCCTCAACATTTTCACAATTTCTTCATAGCCTCATGTTGGCTTACTGTCTCCTGCTTTTGTTTTACTTGTAGACAATCCAAAGACGCTCCTTGACAAGAAATTTTCCTCTGAATCTGCCACATACTGTAATCTAATAACATATGATTTAACAATACATGACAAGCTGGTCTGGCTAATAGGAAAAGTCTTTTATGCAACTTCCCCCTTAAGGGGCTTTCATCTCCAAGTTTATGAATTTAAAGTTGAGTCAATCGTTTTCCTCCCTTATAGTTGCCACATTATTTCATAAAATTGATTGCCTCATTTTGACATGGGCAGCCTGAAATGATGCCCTGGCTCAAGATTAAATACTACCCTATAATGTCTAAATACACAGTTTTTTCTTTTGTTTTGTTTGTTTTGTTCTTATATATACAATGTTTATACAATGACTCTAAAGGTGTACTGCGTAACTTTCTGGTGGAGGGTCTGCCACCTGCTTGTTTTATTCCTTATCTATTTCCATGGAGACAAGCCTGCAATGCCTTCAAACCAAGTTACATGTCATATCTGTGGAAAGATGAGCTCCTTCACTGTAGGAATTCATGTTTTTAATATTATTTTTGAGCAGTAAAACACCTGTAATTGAATAAATGCAACATAGGTGAGTTTAATGCCATACTGTGAAACCTTTCAGGTAAAGCAATAATAGCTCATGGCAGACACCCCTTCCAGAAAAGTTACATAGTGCACTTTTAAGGGTAAAATTTAACATAAAATATAAAACAGATATTTTTTTAGTAAATTTAGAATGAACTCAAATCTGCATTGACGCTGTTGTACTTGCCTCCATTGATACTTCTGGAGGACATACTATGCCCAGATAATTATTGGTCAACACTGTGGACTACCCGCATGTGTTATTATTCATTGGTGGATAAAGAGGAAGTAATTCCTCAGAATAAGCAGAAATGTGCTGAGTGTGAGGGATTGTGTGTGACCTCCGGTGATCCTCTGCAAACTGTTTCTTCCTCAACTCATCTTCTTGTTTCCGGTTCTGTTCCAAACGTTCAGCCTAAAGAAACACAGGCAGCCCTTATATTATACAGTATACGTTACATAATTAAAGTCAGATGGTTTGCATATTAACATTTATATATGCCGATTTATTGCCCCCATTTCCATTTGGTTTATTAGTACTTTGCAGTGACATCATCCTGGGAGCATTGTGCATGTATGTGTATGGCGGAATGTTCAGCAGTTACCATGGCCCCACAATTCACACATTAGCAAACACTGTTAAAAAAGTTGCATGATTTTTTTGAAAAATGCAGTAACAATAATAAATGAATCCAGCAATCAATACAAGTGAAGAACTGTTGGCTAATGCTAACTAGCTTGTGACTGTAATGTTATTTGAGCGGGACTTGTGTAACAGTAAACATTATCTCAGCTGTTATAGTTCTAGCTAAATCAGATTAATTGCAGATTGATGTCGAACAAAGCCTCAGACAGAGGAGTGTCTACAGTTAGCTTCACACCCTCAGGGAACATAAATGGCATCAGATGCAAAGTATCAATATTTGCTTTTATCGTCATTACAAAAGGAAGCACTAAACTAAATTATCTTAGTAATCCAGTATGAGAGGATTTATTTAGGCGCGGGTGTAGGCGTACAACAAAATGTTTAATTGCTGTTTGTAGAGCTAAATTACAAATATCATATTTATTCCTTTACCTTCCATCACACAACAGCAGCAGCACATATTATTTCTGATGTAGAGAAATGTAGTGCACAACAAGCCAAACACCTGTCATCTGTACTGCCAAAAATGTTTTGCAATATAAGGTGTTCTGAGGATAATATTGACTGCTGCTTGACTCTGCTGACATCTAGTGGCAAGGTAATACACTACAACATAGAAGAAACAATTGAATACCTCCTCGCACAAATAATTTGCAGTGTTTGTTTAAATATATACATCAGTATAATTAGTAAATATTAGCAAATTTGTATATATGTATATATATGTATATATATGTATATATATATATATATATATATATATATATATATATATATATATATATATATATATATATATATATATATATATATATATATATATATATATATATATATATATATATATATATATATATATATATATATATATATATATATATATATATATATATATATATACACACACACACACACACTCCCACACACACACACACATACATATATTACCTTTCTTCTTTGTATGTCTTTTTTTTCCTGTATCTTCTTTTCCTCTTCTTCTTTCTGTCTTTTCTTGTCTTCTTCCATTTTCAGCTTTACACAAAATATATTGATCACCCATCAGATCACTGGTAAATCACTAGTGAACTAGTAAATAACCGTGCATCTTATCATCCTAACTGCAAAAGTGTAGAGTAAAAAAGTACCTTTTTCTGTAGTTTAGAGAGGCGCTGTTTTTGCTCCTGGTGCTCACGGGCTTCATCCATTGTCCCTCTTCCTCCTGGAGACAAAAGTTTATAGTTTTATAGGCTGTAGGAGAAAGGAATTATGCATTATGTGTGATAGTTTACCAAGTCTCTCAGGATTCATGTGCACAGGAGCAGACCTTTGTGCATCTCTGTATGCTTGAAGATTTTGTAACTCTCTTTGGGACACTACACAAGAGATTTTATGAAGCTGGTGAAATAAATAAAGGCATGTCGATCTTACTTTGTTGACTTACTTGTTGTCAGGTTGTTTCTCCGAGTTGCATTAGGTGGAATCATGGTAAATCCAGAAACACTGAAAGAAACCAAACATAATACAAGACACAAATGACCAAATGTGGTTAGAGCCAAAAAGTGCACTGAAATTAGAAAAAGTAGTGGTATTTGGGAATACTATTACTCAAGTAAGAGTAATTTAAAAGAGTAACAGTCGAGGCATGGCATCTAATATATAATTGAATATATCTAAATGTACAAAATGTATCAAAGGATAAACACAAACATGAGAAAATAAAGAGAAATATAGCCACCAGTGGCAAGTGCCCCGCTGCAACTGCAAGCGGCCCACTGAAACTGAGGCACAGGCCCTCGCATGTGCCTAAGTTGAGGCCTGCAAATACTGCACCCCGCAAACATTGCACCCCTCAAACACCCCACCCTGCACTGACCCTATTAACCCTAAACCCCAGCCACAACTCTAACCCCTAGCCCCAATCCTGACCTAACCCTAAATGTAACCCTAAGCTTAAACCTAAGCCTAATCATAACCTTAACCATAGCCCAACCTCAACCCTAGCCCTTATCTTAACCCTAACTCTTAACCTAACCCTGCCATATTTCTAAACTTTTGCGCATTTATTAAAAAAATAAATAAATAAAAAAAATGTCCCATATGAAGACACAAAGTCCAAACTTGGGGAGAAGCAAATCGCAGATTTAATCGGACAAATTCTCCTACAGTGTGTTACAGCCTTTACACAGCTGTAACCATTTCAACTATTTCAAAATGGTAAAATATATTTGTGTTTTTTCATAAATTTGTTAAAAGGCCCTCATTACACTATCTGTTCTCATGTAGATTCCTCATCACAGATTGTGTTCTGTTTCATTCACACATGTTTAACACACAAACTCTGCAGGTTTACACCTTTTCCACCTTGTGATGTCATGTGGTAATACAGGAATTGCTCCGCTGTGTTTTTAGACTCCATACACCTTCACTAGAATAATTTGGATGATTTCAGCCCTGGAATTGCCAATCTATACAGACCTAAAGGTAGCCGTTAACTTCAAAAGTATCACTTCATGACATCAAGGTGGAACAGAGAATTTTGAGCTTTTGAGATGTAGACAGATTAATAATAAAGGATTACTCAAACAAATGAATGAAACAAAACATCTCCAGGTCTGTTTTTGTGGAGGTAACAACATTATATAGAGAAGCAGACAGGTACATGTGTTGTGACTCCCTCTGAACATAGGCTCTATTTATGCTTACGTCACAAGCCAGGAAGACGTTTGGAAACATGCAATGACAACTTCCTGTGGGCTCTGTTTGCAGTAGTAAGTCTGACTAAATCTAGGAAAAATTAGAAAATGGCCCAGTTTTCTTCATCTTCATGATATTGTAGCGTTCCATTATGTTCAGCAAATCAGCAATTACAAGCAGACCTGAGGTAGGATACCTCAGTTTTCATCATTTCCCCACTGACACACAACTCCGAGTGTACTGGGTAAATGCGATTAAAAGAGATGAGTGTGCCAAATTCAAGATGATTCCAAACAGCACATACAAATGCAGTCTTCATTTTACCGCTGATCACATTTACTTCAGTGGGTTTTATCACAGTCTGTCTGTGAGCCCAGTGTCGATAACCACACCGGAAGCTGTCATGGCATGTTTCCAAACGTCTTCCTGGTTTGTGACGTAAGCGTGAATAGAGCCTATTGCAAAACGGGTTTGACCTTTAACCTTACACACTCATCTTCATAACTGTCCAATCCTGTGCTTGCTGCCTGCTGTGAAGTATGCCCTTTTGAATTTACAATCAGAAATCATCTGATCAATATCTGAAAACACACAGAGGTCACACGGAGGTCACGGCGTCAACGCGTCAACAAACAGGTCAAAAAGGAGACATGTTATTGATATTTTTCAAATATATTATATAGGGTTCGGGTTACGACTATGGTTAAGTTTAAGCTTAGAATTACGTTGGGGCTAGGGGTTAGAGTCATGGTCACAAGAAACTGAGAAAGTAGAAGAGCAATGGCAAGTTTCTGATGGGGTACAGTTAGATGCCTATTAAACATAAACCATTATCCATTTATTAGTGCACAAATTAAGCATCAAAATCACACATTTGCAATGGTAATTAATCAGATTTTAGAAATTAAGTGCAATACATATAATTCAGAAATACCTTAGCGAGCTACTTGGAAGGGAGTGGAGAACTACTGGTAGCTCTGAAGGTACTCCTGCCCTAATGCATTTTTGAATTGTTTGATGCTGACGTGCCATTTTGTTTATTTTTGGAAAATGTCAATAGCCAAAAATTGGCTAATTGAGCTTCATCATTGTTTACTGGGTAAAAAATTTGTGAGTTGGTTATGAGAAAAATAATAAAAAGAAAGAAGAAAGAATAATATTCTATACGAGAACAATGTTAAGCTTTTTTTTTTTTTTGGCTAAACCAACTACACATTTCTGGAAAACTCTGGTGCATTCCTACATTATGGCCTAATAAAGTATATCTGAAGGAAAAACATAAATAACTAATTCAGTTCAGATCATTTCATATTGTCAACAAAGTTTTTGTCACTTATAACCTTACTCACAGTTGAAAATGTAATCAAAACTTTGACTCAAGTAAGACTACTGTTACTTCAATTAAAAAAACATAATAAAATAAATAAATAAATAATAATAATAATACTAATAATAATAGCAGAAAAAAGGCTATAAATTATTACTTCCCACCTCTGACAGTTACATATAGCAAATAAATTTGTGTCCTACAGCATACATGTTTGAACATTGGTTCAGTCAGACTATTTCTGTGAGAGCTCAACACTGAAAATGAACCAGAAACATTTAAAGGGAAAAGTTGACTCTCAGATTCAGTGAAATGAAAGTGAAAGTGAAAACTTGCCCTCTTCCAAAACACGACTTATCGTCACTGCAACAAATTGTAATAAAAATAACAAGTAATCACTCGTAATTGCATACCACTGTATAATATCATATCTTTAATCTGAACATTTATTTTATTTTGAATTTGTATTGAATTAGGTTACTTACTATTGCGGTTGATGCTGTGATTCAGGAGAGTTCTTGCTGGGGTTTTCAGGTGGGTCATTTTTCGGAACGTTTGGGTCAGTGTTGTTCTGTTGAGGTCTTTGGTTCTGATAAGGATCCATCCTGCAGAAATACTGATTAATTTGTCAGTACTCGTGGTAGTGTGTCGCTACCGGCGTTGTGTCCCTTCGGAAGACTGCTCCAAATACGTCACCACTGTGCTCTCTTACGCCATCTGCTGGACGACTGTAAATTTAACCATTTTTCTTTTAATGCACTTATAAAGCAACAACAAATGGACACGTGTTTTGCTTTCTGTTTCCATTTTATTGTACTGAATTGTTAGCACTTTTTCTCATTTGAAATAAAAAAACTAAACTGCAATGGCTTCTTAGTAAAACAAAGTTATTGTTACATCATATTATGTAAAACCAGAAAAGACAACAAACAAACAAATAAACGTTTATGAGGCAATAATCAGAAATTGCAATAAATTTGTTTACATACCGGGAGTTGGGACAAGAGGACACTTCTATGGCAGGTTGTGAGTTACAGAGATACTGCATATTACACATACATACAACCAAATAATGAAGGACAAATAAATATCAACAGTTTAAAAGCAAGTCACATTGTCTGTGCTAGTAATGCTTTGTAAACAGTGTTAAAAAATACACCAAATCGGTTTGTATATCTATGGCACTGACAAAAGTTATTAAGGATAATGTAGTGTATTTTTAGATATTACATTATCAGTCATTTTATCCAATTTGAAACAGACAGTGAACAAGATATTTCCAAAATGGAATCAGGTCTTAAAATGGGTCCCCTTGTGATGGTTTTGTGACAGTTATGAGGTATACCAGGACATTGGGCTTTAAGTAGTCACCTCTCTTTCCTCTTCTTCTGGACAAGGCACTGTTTGCTGGACGGTTTTCTTCCTCAGTCTCAGAGTTGATCTCAGTTTCACCATGGGTTTGTAGCTCTAGGAATGATGTTAATGTGTGGATGATCTTGATTTGTGTGTCCTTCTATTGTATGAGTATGATCACAGCTTGGGCTGGTTGGCCATCTTCGCCTTCAGGTTCTCAGCCAGTTTATCCAGAAATTCAAAGGTGTTTAAGTAGTCGGCACGTGTCACACTTGAAATACAAGAGGGCATAAAATTAGCCACTTTTTAGCAGATTACTTTAATAATGATCATCCAAAAATATATTTAAATTACAATGGTTAAAATGACCCAGCCTGGAATTATGAATTAATAAATGACCACTCCTAAGCAATAGGTTACAATTTCAAAATTCACAATATCCAGTGTTCCATAATATAATAATACAAATATTTTAAAATATTTGTATGCATACAAATGTACTGAAACTTACTTTGGCAGCCCTTTAATGCAGATCGCCAAGTCTTTGGTCATAAAACCAGCTTCAATAGTTTCAATGCAAACTGCTTCCAGAGCTTCTGCAAAATACTTCAGCTCCTTATTGTTATCCAGCGTGGCTCTGTGGAGCAGTCCTCGTGTCCAGGCAAAGATTGAGGCTGTAAAAACAGACATATATTTTTTTGTTTATAATTATGTATGCAGTGGCAGCAATTCTTTTAGGTCACAAACATTGTTACCTATAGGGTTAGTGGAAGTTTCTTTGCCCTGCTGGTGCTGTCTGTAGTGTCGAGTCACTGTACCATGAGCCGCCTCGGACTCTACTGTTCGACCATCAGGACAGATCAGAACACTGGTCATCATACCCAGGGAGCCGTAACCTAAAATAATATGAACATGAAATATCTCAACTTCCAGTTTAGGAACACTGCAAGTTTTAGAGAGACTCACATGAAGGCTACAAGATTCAGTAAGACAAGAGCAGAGTACAATAGTCACAAATAATGTAAGAAATACCAAAGGTTTTTTTGATTAAAGAATGTTGGTAGTGAGGGATGTTGAGGTGAGTGAATGATGTAAGGCAAGCTGTGGAACATTTTTTTTTAAATGTACTGTACATGTCTACAACAGTTTAATTTTTTTATTTTTTATTTCTACTTTGTACAGTTATGTAATTCTTGTTTCGTCAAAATTTGAGGAACAATATTACATTTTAAATTAAAAAAATGTAGGCAATGTGACCAATGAGAGATACTCATTCTGCAGTTAAGATCAATGGTCTCCTCCTAGTGTGATAGACACAAAAGATAATCAAGTCCCCTGCTTGACCACTGCACGTGACGGTGTTTTGACAGTGTGTATGTGAGTTAACAAATTCATTCACCTCGGTTTTCACTAACCTTGAGCAACTGAATCGGACTGCACATCTCCATCATAGTTTTTGCAGGCCCAAATAAAACCCCCTTCAGACTTCATGGCCTGGGCAACCATATCGTCAATCAGTCTGTGCTCATACCAGATCCCTTTAGCATCAAACTGAGCTCGGTATTCCCTATGAAAAACATTGGATTAGTCAAAATGGTTTGACTACCAATACTCAAAAAGAAAATGTGCGCTTACTTCTCATAGATCTCCTGGAAGATGTCCTTAAATCGGCCATCATACTTCTTAAGGATGGTGTTCTTGGTGCTGAGGTAAAGAGGCCAGCTTTTGTTTAGGGCCATCTGGAAAGAGCTGTGCGCAAAGTCCCTGATGGATTTATCAGTGTTGTACATACCCAAAGCAACACCACCTGTGCCTGCAATCACCAAAAACAAAGTAAGTCACACAAACCATTTTAACCTTATTAACCATGAACATTATTTTCTTACCTTGAAAATCATGAACTAAAAACTTGACTGGCTCTCCTTCAGTGGGTGTGTATGTCATCTCAACTTTCCCGGGCCCAGGCACCACAAAGTCTGTGGCTTTGTACTAGAAACAAAATAAAATAGAAAAATTGTAAAGTGATAAGACCAGAATTCAAGACTTTTACTTATTTGATGATAGAGCTCATGATCCAAATCTCCTTAATAAATGCAGTGAGTATAACTTAATTAGATGCCATTAGAGCTAGTCCGTATGCGATGCACATGGTATTATGTAATCAGCTATTCCTCTTTCCCCCAGAAAGAGTTGTTGACTTTGGCACGAAGCCATAAACTCCCTGTCTGTGTGACACAGGACAAAGAACATCAATGAGCAGATGATAATTATTGACCAAGCTACTCCTGACAACACTAAAATGTTTCATATCCACTAGTCGTCACCTGGAGACTGTAACAAAAAGGAGCCTTTATGTTTCTGTCATATCTTTTATATATATATACCGGTACATGATATTAGAACAGCTGCTGTGTTTTTATTTATAACACACATTTCTAGAAAAACATACAAATTATAATTTGTCATCTTTGATGACTAAAGAGAATCTAGTAGAAAGTAGTCCTAACTACTTAAGTACTAACTTATCATTCATATAATATCAAAAATAATAGCTTAAATAATTCAAATAATTCTCTATAATTCAATAATTTTCTAAAACTGTAAATTGTAGGTGCATTATATAAAAAGCAGCATACCTGATCTCCATGGGCGTGCCTGCCAATGATGATGGGCTTGATCCAACCGGGCACCAGGCGGGGGATGTTCTTACAGATAATGGCTTCCCTGAACACTGTCCCTCCCAGAATGTTCCTGATGGTCCCATTAGGAGAACGCCACATCTGCTTCAGTTTGAACTCCTCCACCCTCTTCTCGTCTGGGGTGATGGTGGCACACTTGATTCCCACATTGTAGAGACGCACTGCCTCCGCTGCCTCTATGGTAACCTGGTCATTTGTTGCATCTCGGTTTTCCATGCCCAGGTCAAAGCTATTGAGAATAAAGAAAACAAGTCAAATTAATGTATATAATATAACATTTACAAACAACATTTTATTTTCTATGTGAAAAAAGAGCTTAATAATACATAATTACACTTTGTCTCTGTAGCAGCAATGTGAAGTTCTTCAAGGACACTTAATGGATGGTCCCAGATCATAAAACATAAAATGTTGTATTCAAAAATTTTGTTTTATGGTAATTTCCTTAAGAGTTATGGTCTAGACACTATGTCCTATTATGTGACACTACCCGTCAAAAGTTCGGACTCACCCTCTCAATCAGTGTTTAGTTTTTTTTTGTTTTTTTCCTATATGTTTTCTACTTTCTACATTTGTTATACATACAGAAGTATCAAATATATGAAGTAAGATGTATGGAATTATATAGCAATAGGGATGTAACAATAACTGAAATATCGTGATATCGTATTGTCAAAAGTCTCACAATAATATCGTGGGCTGTTATAAAATATCAACAAGTTCCTTTGCTTAAATGCATGATTTTATAGTAGCAACAGCTTATAAACATAGGGAACTACATATCCCATGATTCATTTCAGTGCAGACAACATGACAAGATATGTTTTTTACTTGAAAGAAAAAAGTAAATATATCTTATGCGTGTATCTAAAATGTAGAAACAAGTAAAAAAAAAAAAAAAAAAAGGATAAGAGGGTGTGTCCAAACTCTTGACTGTATATTTAAACAGCACCATTCAAAAGTTTGGACACGCCCTCTCATTCAATGTTTTTTTTTTTTTTTTTTCTTTCTTACTACTTTCTAAATTTTATATACATACGGAAAACATCAAATATCGGGGGCAAGATATATGGAATTATTTAGTAAAGAAAAAACATCAACTAACAAATATTTTTCAACAAAGCAAAGGGTGACTAATTTGAGGATTTGAATATAATATATACAAATAAAAAAATATCATTTAATAATTATTTTTCTTTTCTAAATAATTCCACATATATTACTTAATACATCTGATGTCTTCTATAAGAATATAAAATGTTGAAAAGAACATATAGAAAAAGCACTGAATGAGATAATGTCCAAAGTTTTGACTGATAGCCAAAAAAAGAATCTAAGAACAAATTGCACAACTGATGGACAGATAAGATGGACAAAAACAGACTGCTTCTTTTTCCTGTTGAACTTGAATCACATAATTTCAGTTCAGAGTTGGGTCAACCATAGAGGAAGTGCTAATTAATTTTGTAACCAGAGCTTCTTTAAGCTCTCACTGGCTTTGTTTAAAAGCTGCCGTAACCTTTCACCCAGATTGGTTCATTGTGAACACCAACCCAGTCATGTAATGCAGGCCCAGTGCAGCCAAACAAACCCAGACTAAGGAGACAATATTTTAGTAAAACATGTTCAGTTGTGCTTGACTCATACATATTGCAATTAAGATGTTCAACACTGCATGGATTTATTTCCAGCAAATATTATACAGTGCATACAGTTGTGTTATGTTCAAATGATCAGGGCTTGCTGTTGCTTTATCAGTGGTTATTTGATCTGTAAATCTGTTATAGTCTAGAAACACCTATTGCAAAATCTACAATCAAACTAATGATTAACTTCTGTAACATGAAAAAATTAATTTTAGAGAATCCATTACAATTGTGTTTTCTACATTAAACAGAATAACACAAAAGTATATATTTCAAAATGACAGTGATTAAATGATGATGAAATGTCCTTTACAGACATGTATAACAGATGCAAGCAAAATATGAAGCCCCAGTGTAGCCTGGAACATTTGTAACCTTAACCCAATCAGAGAGCATTATTCCCCCTGACAGTTTCTTGTGTGATCACAGCAGCCCACCTGACAGCATGGGGTAATTACACAGGGCTGTTTACCTGTGCATGTCCAGTTCTAGGTAGGGGAGGATGAGCTTCTCTTTGATGAGCTCCCAAATGACCCTGGTCATCTCATCTCCCTGCATCTCCACCACTGCACCGGCCTTGATCTTCTGAGACATCTTTGAGCCTGTGGTGTAACAAATAAACAAACATGAACATACTTTATATATCAGCTATTACAAAATATCAAACTTTCCATTTACAGGACTGATCTCGGTATCAGCTGTAGTGGTTGGTCTAGGTTACTTTTTATATCAGATAACAGCACTGTCTCCTACCATGAGTTATGAGTTAATTTATTATTTGTAATGTTACTAGTGAATTGCATGACATGAATGCAAAATGAATATTACAATGTGATATTGTGCCACTGAACAAAAGTTGTAAGAATATACAGATAAGCAATGACTCAGCACTGCATTGCTAGAAAATAATCTCGTGATCCTCTTAGCCATTAGCCAAGCTTGACAAGTCCCCCTGAGTTGAAGCTAGAAATGTTTGTAATTTGAGAAACCTGTTCAGAGCAGGTTCTGGGTAGCAGAAAACTTCTAAGCCCACTTCTACGTAGCCTGTTGGAGACACTAGATATTGCACAAGAGTGTAGACTATAACATGATGGGGAGGGGACTAAAACTGGAAAAAAAAAAAAAAAAAGAAGCAGTCTGTCAAGTTAGCAAGCTAGCAGATATTGAACACGGATCTATCTGGACAAAGACGCCTAGAAGTATCAAATTACACAATGGATGAAGTGTCATAAACGCAGGCCATCGAAGACTTGTATGAGCTCTCTATAATCTTAGCTCAGACATCTATTAACCAAGGCAAGAACACGATGTATGACTGTTTGAAGCTAACGCCAAAAGAGCTAAATATATAGACCTTTTACTTCCTGCTTCGGTTACATCAAGAAATAACAGAGTGGGTTAGCTAGAGTCTTACCAAATTCACTTTGTAGATAAAACTGAGAGAGGAGCGGAGGCAGTACAATATCCGAGATGTGCAGCGGGCTGAATGGACCCGTGGAGAAGGGAACGTCAGGTACCCGGCTTCCTTCTCCGGGTACAGACGTGCTCACAGCCAATCAGAAAAGAGGAGTAAGCGCAGCAGCCAATCAGAGAGGACCGCGCCACCGTCTGGGTTATCTATGGTTATCTAAGGAGGGACAATACACAATTATTGCATTCATTCATTTCTATTGAAATCTTCTGCCCATTTGGTCCTCGTCTACTGATCAAAAACAATCTCCAGCTTATGTCATGTCCCTCCTTCTCTGCACATGATCATTCCAGGGCTCAAATTGCATTTCAGCATTATTATTATATTCGTATTAGACTTATTAGACAAACTTTATGATTCACTAAATAAATGATTTTGAAATTATTGGTATTAATTTATTTACACCAGTATTTATTTATGTATTTTTTAGAAAAAAAAAAAAAAAAAAAAAAATATATATATATATATATATATATATATATATATATATATATATATATATATATATATATATATATATATATATATATATATACTAACATTATTCTTAAACAAATAGTTTTTTTTAAGCTAAATGTTAATAAAACTAAATTTTGCTTGTATGACCTAATGTGCAAATTGTTTATTGAACTCAGGCTACTTAGAGGAAGTATGGTACAATACTGAACACTAAATTAGCCTTGTCAGTAAAATGGCATAGCATGGTGTTTTTAGCAGTCACTTACCTTTTTTAACGGGGCAAATTCATTTTTACAAAACTTTACCCTTCTGTGCGTGTCTTAACATGCAGTATACACATCGGCCAGTAGAGAGCAGGAAATCACTACACTGTGCAGACCACTCTCCCTTTCAGACTCAGGAGCTGCACGGTGCCATGTGGTCCTGAGGAGAGCCGAGAACAAAGCACACTGAGTTGTCGTGCGCTCGGTAAGTAAATATGTGAACATGCTAAGGAAGTTTTTGGCTTTCATAAACGCTTTATTGTATATTTTTGGTTGTATTTAGGCCCCCTGAAATCTATTTGATTAGTCTTTGGCGTTTGATCATTTAGTTAAGCTAATAGTCTTTATTAGGCTGTAGGACAGCAGCCAGATTCTGTGCGTAAATGGGGTTGTGTTAATAATTAAACACAGGGGTATCGTCCGGGGCACGGCCTCTTGTTCCCTAAAAGCATCTCTTTGTTGTCCCCCTCCACCTCCACTTTGAACAGGGACAGCGTGGAGATCTGAAAGGAGTCATGTGACTGTGCATCTGCTATCAGTTGTGGTAAAATCCATGCAACCAGGGAGTGTGTTCATGTAGGACCTATATGTGCAGGAGGAGAGAGAGCGACGAGGAGGAGCTTTAACACTGACTCCACGACGCACCATCAGCACCAAAACTTGCAGCCGCTCTATCCTTCCTCCATCATCTCATGCAGCAGAGCGCGCGAGCACTTGCAATTTGATTTTAATTTCCGTGTCTCCTCCCCGTTGAGTGGTGCTCAGGTGCAGCCCGAGGTTGTTACTCGCTCTCCGCTGAGTTGATTATGGTCACAACCCCCGCGGTGCCAAGGTGGAGCCACCGCGCGTATCTCGGATCGGTGCGCTTCTCCAGGGGCTGGGATGCGCACCGGGCACCTCTCGGTTCCTGCCGGGTTTCGGGTCTGGTTTCGGGTCTGAGGAGTCCAGCGCTGCCCCTGGGCGCCGGAACAGGAGGACCCAGTCGACCCGGAGCAGGATGCCGGTGATGCGGGGGCTCCTGGCCCCGCAGAACACCTTCTTGGATACCATCGCCACACGCTTTGATGGCACTCGTGAGTAGCAACCACACTGTTTCTTTGTAATGTATTCACCTAATAAAATGCAACAAGTTATTTATTCCTAAATAAATACATTTACAACATGTTTACATACATTTGAGTTAATTGGTGCAGATTTGTCTGCTTGGTGCATTGTCAAGTGACTTCTCTCACCAGTTTTAACACTTGCTTTCATTGTCTGTCGCCTGTGTGGCATGTTTGGTGAACAAATGGTTTGCTGCAGAATATTCTAGTAAGGGTTACTCTATCTCTGCTCACCACCACACTAGTAAAAGTAAACATTTTCATTATATTATATTATATTTCCAGGTAAGGCTATTTATTGATTGGTACAGCTGTTGACTTAAGCTGTGTTCCTATATGCGTAATAATTAGTTTTTTGTTGTCTTGCATTTGCTTTAGTTCTTATTTTTAAATTGACATTTAGTTGATGGTTTATATACTTGTGGATTTGTTAGCAGCATTCTGCGGCCCATTCAAACCTGATTCCATGACCACAGCCTGTGTAGGCCTAGTATCTGTTGCATTGCTCTATTTCTATCTTGAAATATGGAGCTATTGGACAAAAAGGACTTAGTGTGTGACCTGTGTTGTACTTAAGCAGTTTTATTTGATTGCAAGTTGATTTTTGTTGATCTGGAACAAGCGTAACTTTATGACATATCTCAATCAGCTGTCCAAGGTTTTTGATTTGACAATTGGAAACATGCAACATGAATTACAATTAAAACACTGTACATTTCAACTGTAAAACATTGCCTGTTTTACTTCTACGTCACTACATTTTAAAATGGTACATATATTTTACAATATAAAAAACTATTTTGGTGATAGTAAAAGACAGTGTTGAATTTATTATCACTTATGTCCCCCATCCTCTGATGCTCAACTATCTCTATTATTTTCTTCTAGCATTTATGGTTTTATTTAATTGTAAAACACATCCCAGACATTAAAGTGATCCGATTTGTTTTAACAGTATAATCATGTATTTTACGATCACCAACCCACCCCCTGCACTCTGCACATCAAAACCACACTATGCAAATGACACAATAGCTTTTCATGATAAGTCCGCCATCACAGTCCCATAGCAAAGTCATCACTGTAAGCCATGCTATTTTCCTTTTTCTATGCCACAAAGCAGGGCTACCATTTGCCGAGGTGCCGATAATTATACATCTCCAGCAGTGCATCATGTGCAGTCTTTGTAATTAACTAGCATGGATGTCGAGAATTCATGGTGCCCTTTCTGGTTGTCAGTGGAGGGGATGATGGTGTGGGGGCGAAAGGCGCGCTGTGTAGCTTGGAGATCTTTCCATTGAGAGAGTAGAATTGAATGAGGTAAAAACACATGTAGCTGTTAGCACAACTGTATAGTAAATAATGTGACACTGAATTGCCTCTATTGCACGAAATTGACTCTTGTTAGCTTTAAGTCATGTTATAATGTTGTTACCTCATCAAAAACATACATGGAGTTTTGTTTTGTTTCATTTACACGTGTCTCAGTAAACTTGAGACTGTCTATAACTCCAGATGCTCTGTTCCACATTGTGATGTCATGAAAAGGTAGTTTTCAAGTGAAGAGCAATCTTTATCTTTTTGTTCAGTAGAGCTTGGTAACTTAAGGACTGAAAACACATAAGTGATTCTAGTGAAGGTGTAGGGAGTTTAAAAACACAGTGGAGCACTTCCTGTATTACCACGTGACATCACAAGGTGGAACAGAGTGTTTTCTGTTTGAGAGAACAAGTCGGCTTAAATATGCAGGCCTTGTGTGTTAAACAAGTGTAACTGAAACAAACAAAACTCCAGGTATGTTTGTGTTAAGGAAACATTATAATAGATAAAAATAGCATAATGTAGGCCTTTTAAGCAATCTCACTTGAAATCCTTATAGCTTTTTTTTATTACTTTGTTGAGTCACTTATCTTAGTCATAAACAATACTACATAGGATATTTCTCTCATACAATATCTTGGTGATAAAAAAAAGTCAAAATTGTTTATTTCAGTGGGAGATTGGGAACCAGCAAGCTCATTTATTGGTCTCTGATCATTTCAAACAAAATCATAGTCCTGTCACAATAATAAAATTCAAATTACGATAAATTCTTGAAAAAAAAAAAAAAAAAAAAGACAATAAATTATAATATTGAAACTAATTTACGGCACTGATACAATAGCCTGAAGTACATTTATTCTCCAAAAAACAATTTTAAATGTGCAATATGGTGAAAAAAATATGAACCACAGTAAATAAGAATAAAATAATTAAGCACTTTAGTAATTAGTTTGTATATTATGAGTTGTAGAAGTTATTTATTGAACAATCTATAGTTAAAATTGAATCTTGGAATAGAAAAATAACAAAAAGTTTCCCACTAGTACAAAGAAAAAAATCTCAATGACAAATACTGACCCCGAAAATTATCGTTCCATTAACATGTATTGAGCGATAACGTGACGGGCTTACAAAATCATATTCTTTTTTTTCTTTTCCTTGTAAGCGGCCATATTTGACGCACTATGTGTTTTTATGATTGGATTATATTATCCATATGCCCTTCTGAACTGGGAGATAAGACCAGTACCCAGACTGCAAGTCTCTTTGTAGTTTAGAAAAAGTGTGTAGTGTTGCTTGGCCAGGCAAGATCCTTTAACTCACATAATGAAAGTAATAGTTGGCATTTTTAATAAGAAATGCACAATTCTAAGTAAAGGTGCACTGTGTAACTTTTCCAGCCAGAGATGTAAGAATCTCTATGGAGACTTGCAAGCCAAATTACAGGTTAAATTTATGGAAAGGTGACCCCACTCACACTAATGCATTTTTTTAAAATATTTTTGAGCAATAAATAACACCTGTAGTTGAAAAAACACAAGACAGATTATGCCATACTGTGGACAATTTAAACCAAAGCATTAACATCTCCATGGAGACAAACAGGTTACAGACCCTCTCCAGGAAAGTTACAGAGTACACCTTTAAGCCAGGAGCTTCTCTTCTTCTATTACACCAGCAGTCTCCCATTTATGTTTTGATTCCTTTCTCATCACTGCAGGCTCAAGACCCCATCAATGGAGCTAATGGCTTGTCTCTCACTCCACATGTTTTTAGAGTTATTCACAGGGGCCACACATAAGATACAAGTGTAGATTTAGAGCCATTGTTGCATCAGAGCACAGTTTGACATCACAGCCGCTGAATCATACACTTGTTAAAAGGTTATTATTTATAGAGGCGCCTCATGACAAGAGCTGCAGCCACCACCTTCTTCACAGAGCAACACTCACATAGTCTCAAGATTTGTTAAATAGCTTAGCATTCAGGGCTTTCTGTAATCAAGACATGACATTTTCATTATAGTTATTATTATTTGTTTTGAAATAAGTACACAAGATGGTGGACCTGCATATACCGAGCATGGTTGATAAGTGATGCGCTCTTATAAAGCAGGCAGCAGCTGTGTGGGAATACAAGTCAATTGGCCCATTAATTGAGTAGGACTTGGACCAGGCCTAATCAGATTGCAGTTTGATCTCTCAGTATGTTTAGATCCAATGTTGCTGTTACTTATGTTTCAACAGTAAAGTAAAAAATGCCATTATCATTTTTAATGTCAATAACAATTATGTCAGTATAATATTCTTTAAAATGACTGAATGAGGATTATGATCAGCTGTGGATGCCTATGACAAATATATATGGCTATTCAAATAAATTTGAAATAAATGACCAGCCTTAACTTGAATTTGGTTTAGTGTGATACATCAACACAGGCTGTATAAAGAAGTGGCTCCACTCAAATGATGCTCATGAAGCAGTTATATGGGCGAATTTGAAGCTCAGTGCTATTTTAGGAATAGGAATTTATTTACAGACAAAATAATGAAATAAAAACACCAGGGTCATGTAGCGTGAGTTGATACAAACATTTTAAGACCAAAATGACAAAACTGACATCAGCAATTACAGAGAGGGGCAAAGTTTTCTGAATACAAAGTGAATTGGAGCCGGAGTTGATAGAACTGGAAGCGTGCCCATGCTCACTTCCTATATTCCTTGGAATATATACAGTTTATGTAAATCAATGCTCAAGATTTGTTTGTACAAAGCAATGGCAAATATATTTTAGACATAAACATAAATGAAAATCTAATACAATATAATAGAATCCATATACTTCTAAATAGTTGTTGTGCTTTTATTTAAGATACTTCAGCTATATGTTTCTGGGTCGTGCCTTGAAGAACATTTAATATTTGGATAGTCACCACTTGTCACTTGACACACATTATTTAATTGATTTTTCAGGCCTTTTCTCAGAATATAATGCATTTTCAAATTTTCTTTTCTACCCTTCTTGAAAATGGACTTGCTGTTTGCTCATAGACTTCATCATCAACTTCTCCAGCCTCTGTATCACACATAACACACTCTTTGTCTGTAATCCCATTAACTCAACTCACATTAAAAAGCCTCTCTATTCAACAGCTTTGATAAGTGTCAAATTATCTCCCATCTCTGCGCCTCTCTCACTGCTGGCAGGCCTTTAGAACACAGCACACACGCCCTCCTCCTTCTGTTATTATTCAATACATTTAAAGGTTCACTTTGTAACTTGTCTAGAACATGGACCACCACCTGCTTGTATCCAAGTCCAGAAGTTATTGCTTTGCCTGGAATGTTCAAATTGCTTTTAATTCATCCATCTCTGGTGGTGGTGATGATCACGTAACTCCACTTGACCAAATTGCAGGTTAAAACACATCTAATTGAATACATGCAGAATACACATTTATTGCCATACAGTCAAACATTACAAGCAAAAGCAATAATATCTCCATGGTCATGAGTAGGTGACTCCACTACTAGTCCAGGTTGCAGGCTAGATCTATGAACATGCAACCTCACTCACAGGAGTAATGTATGTTTTTCAAGGTAATTTTACACAATGAAAACAGCAGCTACAAGATTGATAAGTTTAA